AGCTTCATCCTAGAATATGGAAAAGTGATCAACAACTTGATATTTGGTCCCTTTTCTATGTTTTACTTCAAAATCAAATTCATGCAACAGTTATGTCACGACCGGAGTCTAGACACAAGACAAGACCGGCGTCGTTGACCTCTTAGAGGTCATAGACAAGACTACATATGTCATTCTTACATCATCCAGATTAATTTTATCGGAAAATTTGAAACTTTTTTTCCTAACATGCTTACTAAACATCTATTAAATATATAATTGTTCACCATCAACCATCTAATATTAATATGATCAAATGAAAGAAATAGTTCATAGCTATAGTAAATTTGTACTTGCCAAAACGACACCAATACAAAGTGTAAAATGAAATGGGAAATAAAACACTAGTGGAAAATGCTCCGCTAGCTAAAGCCTACATCATATCTAGATAATAACAGTAGAAAGCCTCGAAAGCATGAGGGCCTACCAGGTTTGGATGAGAGCTCCACGTCCAGAGAGCTAGAATGTCAACCTGTAAGCTCTAGCGTCCACCTGTGCCTACACCTAAAAATTTAAAGTTGTATGAAATTAGTAAACACTTTTACTATGTATGGGTATATGCAAGCACACATAAAGGACATGCATGAGAAGAAATAGATCTTTCCTAACAACATGATTATAGAGAGTCGAGTAAATGGAGTTACCAAATTGAGATTAGGAAACTTATTGAACTTTCAAAATTTGGATTAGGAAAGTTAGTAAGATTTCAAAATTTTGATTAGGAAAGTCAGTGAGCTTTCGAAATTTTGATTAGGAAAGTCATGCCATGAGAGTAACATGCATCATCATACTTATCATATTGCACACAACTCATAACATCTTACACATAGCTCACATCATATACCATATAGTATAAAACATGTTTTACAACACTCATTCATATGACATGATACCTTGGAATCATGGACTTGACATTAAGACTTTCCAAAAAGAGGGCTCAACATATGGGACCTCAACTAGAGAGTCTTCATTGGCAAACACAGAGTCTGCTTCATTCATTCATACGTACTTCATTACATTTTGTTCATAGGCTACTGTGAACACCAGCTATACCTAGGATGTAGTTTAAGACTCTCATCGAGTGTGTTGTGGAATTATCAAGAATAGTGTAATTACTTGAGCCTGTGCTAACACCTTTGGTATTGTTCAATTCATCATGTGCATCATTTGAGGCTGGCCTCATTTATCCATTGGAAACTTTAACTTTAACCAACATAGATCATGTGAGCATCTTGTAATCTAGTGTCTCCTCCACATCAAAAAGAGGTGTAATCATCAGCCAAAGTGACCCAAAAAATTCTACGTATATGGGAATGTAACCCCGCCAGATTCCTATATTGGCAGTATAAGTTCTAAGACTGGGAGATATATAAGGAGACCCATATTCGGCATGCCGGATAATACTATCTCATGAGAGTTACGTGAACCTCTGGCTTTCCTAAAAGAAGGCATGACCACTCATAGCTAGTCTATCAGTGCTCAATATAAAGTTCCATTATATTCAACTCATACGTTGTGGAAGTTGGCTTCTTGTATGAGGAGATCATATATCTATAGATGATTTCTCATCTCATCATTAGTATTTAGTGCATTAATCTCAATAATTTCATTAGACTGTTCATAAGGACTGGTCTCTTCATTAACTTTACACTCTCATAGGTGAGTACGTTTTATTAACATTTACTTAGTCTCATTTGAGATTGATCTCATCTTTTAAATTAGCCTCATATCATGTTGTCATGACATTCATTGACATTACCACATTTTCTCTTCAAAATCTCTCACCCCTTTTTACGTAAATGTTCATTTCTTTATATGCCAATGCACTTGGCCATTTATTGTGTTTCAAACTCTAACTTAACCAATCTAGGGTTTCATTACTTTATTGTTAATTTCTTAGGTTCACTTATTTTTTAATCGTATGCTAGAATTATGGGTTTATACATACAAGTCATGATGCTTCATTCATAGTTTAATAAGTGACTTATATGTTCCTATGTTTATGTAGTACAAGACTTATGTATCTTGTATGTATTCCAAGATCATGATTTCAATCTAAGTAGGTTGAATTATTCTTGAACATTTAATTCACGTATGATTTATGTATCAATATGGAAATTTGGACAAGGGAACCCAAGTTCGAAACCCCTGGACAATACTTACATTTTCCCTTTCCTTAATTTTAAGTCTTCATTACATTGGGACCCTAGATCGAGCCCTAACATCAATATTCTATCTTTATTTTTCTCCTTAGGTTTTCCTCTTATTTGGCCGAAGTGTTGTGGGATCAAACCCCCACAACCCCTTTTTAATATTCATTAAAAATTTGTCTTGTCCAATTCGCCTAGACCAAGAGGTTGTGGAATCAAACCCCCACAGCCTCTTTTTATTTTATTCATTATTTCGCTGGAAATTAGGAGGTTGTGGGTTCGAACCCCCATAACCTCCGTATTTATTTTAAATTTGGCTAGGGCTGTGATGTGGTTCAAACCCCCCAGAGCCTCCTTATTTTATTTTTATTTAAAGTTAGCTTAGCTAGGCGTTTGGTAGTGAGGTTGTGGGTTCGAGCCCCCACGGCCTCACTTTATTTTCAAATTTATTTCCCTATTTTCCTTTCAAGCCTTGAGGTCGTGGGTTCAATTCCCACACCTCGCATTTTATTTATTTAAAATTTTTCCATATCCTAACTCGCCTGTACACAGCTTTTCGAATCCCGCCAGCCCCATTTCTTTCTCTCTTGCGAGATTAAGGTTCCACACGGGTTAGGTCACAGGTTCGAATCCTAGTGGCCTCACCCCTTCAAATTAATTTAATTTTCCAGATTTCCCTTCTATATTTTAGCCTAAACTAAACTTATATTTTTCGCTGCACACTTATTCATTTTCTTAACTTATTTTCATCAATATTTAAACTTCAAAACTTGGAAAGATTCATGGATCATTTAACAGTTTTTGGGGTGTATTTCATGGATTCGTTGAGCTAAATTATTGTCCATCAAATCATCCCCATTTCCATATTTATGGAAATCGCGATTTACATAGGTTTATGTATGTAAAATGACAACCAAGACAATATTAAACTTGAAGCTTTAACTTGTTCTTATTCACAGTGACATTTTTTTACATACACACTTGCATAAATTTTCTAGTACAAGGTTGCATACGATACGATTTCAAGTACACAACATAATCATAATCCTCACGAAAACATCACATACACCTAACTGTACTAGCAATCATACCCAACCTACTATTGATTGGGAGCTAGTGAAAGGGGCATGCAAAAGGGGAAACAATCCTAGTTTTCGAATGACTAATACGAACATTAAGGGGTCTATTGGGAAAGGGACCAAGAGAAACAAAAACCCATACCTTATTTTGATGCTCAAAACTAGAATTTTATGACCCAAAAACTACACCCAAGAACACGTCTATGACTCTTCAATAGTAACTCCAATCGAATGACAACCTCCCTTAGCCCAGTGTGCGATTACCGTGTGTTTTCGTATGATTGAGTGTGAGTTATTCAAATGTGAAGAATGTGGTTTATTTTTATACTTTTGTATGTTATTTTGGAAGAAAAATATCATGTGAAAGAATGGATATATTGATCATGAGAGTTGAAAGATAGACGTGAGAGAGAGTTGGAGTTATAGGAGGTTTAGTAGTCTAGTTTTAGGACTTAATCAATAGGGTTTTATTTATTTAATAAAAATCTTATTTTTATTTTGTTTAAATTATATAATGAATAATAATTATTAATTAATTACAAAAATTCAGTATCTTAATTTAAAATTACATTACTTCATTATTTCCAGCTACGTTCGAACCCGGATGAAGCAAGACTTCACTTTAAGAGCTTAATTTCGGCTTTCTTCCCCCAAATTTCCCCTCCACCTTATTAATTAAATAATTAATTATATATTAAGGGTAATTATTATATTACCCTTAGCCTTGAAAGATACCATTTTACCCCTAGACCCTCAAAATCTAAGACTTCCACTTTTTAAGTCTGATAAAGACTCATTCGAGTAAATATTCGTATTCGAGCGCCCTACATGGTTGGACCCAACCTTTCCAAGATCAACTAACTCCCCAATTAGTTTTATTTACTGTAGCAAGGATTCCGAGGTTTGGTTCTATGCGCTGATATTCATGTGAATCCTAGTCTAATCATAGACATTCCTTACACATTAAGCATCACTTAGTATATCCATATTTAGGGTCATTACAAGTAATACCCATGTAATCAATCTTGATTTCGAATAATTCTTTGAAATCAAAAATCTCAAAGAGGAATAATCAGTATGCAATATGATTCTCGTCTAAAGCAAGTAGGAGCAAAAATTTTCGAAAGCAAAACCACCGCAATGATCTCTTGTTCAGTCACAATAGAGTTCTTTTGAGCTTCAATAATGGCCTTACTGGCGTAATAAATGGGTTGAAGGATTTTATCCCTTCTTTGACTAAAAACTACACCAAGATCAACCCCACTAGCATCACACATCACCTCAAATGGTTTACTCAAATCTGGGGAAATAATAATGGTCGTAGATACAAACTTCTCCATAAACTCACCAAACGCCTTCTGACAGGATTCATCAAAATAAAATTTACATTCTTTGTAAAGTAAATTGCATAGAGGATGTGCAATTTTTGAAAAATCCTTAATAAACCTCCGTTAGAAGCCCACATTCCCAAGAAAACTCCTCACACTTTTTAAAGAGATTGGTGGAGGAAGTCTCTCTATGACCTCAACATTGGCTTGATCAACCTCTATCCCTTTCTATGAGATGTGATGACCCAATATAATACTCAATTTCACCATGAAGTGACATTTCTCCTAATTTAGCACAAGGTTGCAATCCTCACACCTTTTGAGAACCTCACCCATGTTACTCAACAATGCTCAAAGGAGTCGCCAACCACTGAAAACTCATCCATAAACACCTTAGTAGTGTCTTAAATAATATCGGAGAATATTGACATCATAAATATCTGATGAGTCGTCGGTGCATTACACAACCGAAAAGGCATCCTTTTCAACGCGAAAGTTCCATAAGTGCAAGCAAAGGTGGTTTTCTCTTGATCCTCCAGTTCAATAGAGATTTGGTTGTTACCCGAATAACCATTAAGAAAATAATACCACCCCTTTCCTGCAAGCCTATCCAACATATGATCCATGAAGGGAAGCAGAAAATGGTCCTTTTCTTTCCATGCATTCAACTTCCAGTAATCCATAAAAATTCTTGTAACAAGCTCATTGTTGTCATTGGGGACCACAGTCATTCCCCCCTTTTTGGGCACAGACTGAACAACGCAAACCCAACTATAATCAGCAATCAGATATATTACTCCATCATCCAACAACTTTATATTGTACTTCTTTGCTAACTCATGCATAGGTGGATTTAACAGTATTTGATGCTCAATACTTGGCTTCTGAATGGGCATGAGTTGGATTTTGTGTGAACAAATACCAGGTGGAATCCCAATAATGTCCGCAATAGTCAAACAAATGGCTCCTTTGAAACTTTTTAGTACTTTCGCAAGACACTCCATATGGACCACATTCAAATCCAATGAAATAATTACTGGAAAAGTGTAATCTTTTCCCAAGAAAACATACCTCAGATGAGGTGGTAGAGCGTTAAGCTCCGATTTTTGGGCCTCCTTAATAGATGGTCTCACGGTGGAGACTCGCGATGCCTCATATCAAATTTCAACTTCTTTATTTTGAACCGCACATCACCTCAATCAATTGCCGCAACCAATGACCATACTCTTCAATACCATCACTCTAAAAATTTATGATCAATGCCTCTAGTGCCTCAATACAAAGGTGCTCTTCTTTTTGTACCTCAGAAGAACTCTCAACCTGTAGGATATCAGAGATACCGATAGGAGCTCACCGCTCTGCCTCATGGACATAAAATCCTTGAAAGTCGCTTCTTCATTTTTTAACCGAAACTTTATCTACCCTTTCTTTAAGTCAACCAAGGCGCGACTGATAATGATGCACAACTTCCCAAGAAGAATAGGCACCTCAAAGTCCACAACATAATCAAGAATCATAAAATCCACCGAAAATATAAATAACATCAAAATATCATGGATTATCCTAATTATCCTCTTTTCCATTCGATTAGCCATCAGTAACCACATCGCAGTGGGCTTTGAATCACCCAGACCTAACCTCTTGTAAGTAGAGAGAGGCACGAACTTTATTCTTACCCCTAGATCACATAATGCTTTAGCAAAGTATAACAACTCAATTGTACATGGAATAGTAAAAGCGCCCGGATCTTCTTGCTTTTGCACAAGAGAAGTTGTAGCAATAGCACTACGATGTTACATCCTCATATCCTCTCGGTGGTAGGCATAACTTCCCATGGATTCTAAACATTATAGACTATATGTTAAGGATAACTAGTGAACACCACATCTCAACTCACGAGGGCATTCATCCTTTAACCTATCTGAGAAAGCATATGGGATGTAGAAGGGTTGCGACTAAACACTTCATCTCAAGTCACGAATAGTATTCACCATAAAACTCCCCTTTAGGAGTAAAATTAGCTTCATTCATTCATTTAAGTGTGAGTGTGTGTGTACATGTGAGCACACCTTGCACATAAGCTTCACTTCATACATTCTTAGACCTTCATTCATCATATCACACACTTTACATACTTCATTTAATCATATAAGTCCTTTAGACATAATCCTTAACAGACTTCTCTAACAAGCTTCATAAAACACTAAACAAGAATATCTTCATTTAAGCATACTCTCTAGCCTATTTCATATAATAGCTTCCTAAGGCACATTTAACAAAGCATGTCAAACTTTTCATATTACTTCACATAAAAAGCCTTCATAGCCTCATTCACAATAAACTAGTAACTTTATATTCATACAATTTAAGTAAACACCCCCAACAAGATGGTGGACCATTCCATTAAAGAGCATTTTGAAAATTAAAGATAAACAACATAACCAACTTACCCTTCAATACAATATTTCATCACATGTAGCATTTTAATATATATTTCATCGAAATAAAGCCCTTTGGGAAGTATCTAAACAACAATAACCACAATAAGAAACCAAAGCTCATTCTCTACACAAACTTGCTCATTTAATCCATTTCTTAAGTCAACAATTGAAGAAAAGCTTTAACATGATTTCATTGAATTTATAACCTTAAAATCATCAACTAAAATTAGGAAAACCATTATTAAGTCATTAGAAATGTTTTCATGCAAGACCCATATTTAGATTTGAAGATAGTAGAACCTAGTGTTGAAAATCCATTTTGAATGTTAGTTTGAAGGGGCTCCATAAATGAAAAAGTGAGTTCAAGGATGGATATCATACCTCACATTGAAGAAATACCAAATATTGTTGATGAAGAAACAACCATCAACAGCCCTCCTAGCATTTCTTGACTTCTAGCTTCCATGGAGACTTGAGAGAGTCTTGTAAGAGAGAGAGGGGTTTTGGGTTTTAGGAAGAGGGGTCTAAAATGGGGTTTTAGGGTTTAGAACAATTTAATATAAATAATATACACTAAAATTATCCACATATATTCTTAAAAGAATTGGGGTGTATTTTAATAAAACACCCCAAGTTGGCAGCAACTTCACAGACTTCGCATGCCTCACAGACGAACCTTCACCAATGGACAATCGTTGAGCCAACGAACCATTGGTAGGGTCTCGTTGGTGGATAGTTAGATACAAATAGAGCATGTACAACTGTACTAACTGTTCCAATAGACTCCCTAGGTCGACGGACCATTGACGAACTAACGGACCGTCCTTAGGGCCGTCCATGGCCACTGCTTTTTGGCATATTTTACTCAGTCTTGGGCCCTTCATCTAAGGCCCTTTGTGGGTCCTAGGTGGGGTCATTCCCAGAAGTTAAACCCCTAAACTAAGTCTTCTAGGTCTTTGTAACATCCAATGAATGTTTCAAGTAAAACGAACATGTAAAACTCGTCTAAACACAAAAGCACAGACTAGTACATTCTAAGGCATACTTTCCGAACATCATGGACGTTCTTGGTCGATTGAACTCCAAGCTTAACCAAACTTCATACACTGCCTAAGGACACTAAAATAACTAAGTTTAACTGAAGATCAACTTAATAAACAACCACGAGGCTCTAGTTCACCTTATTTCTTTTTGGGTGTTGCATTCTCCCCCACGTTGAATAACATTCTTCCTGGACTGACACTTAAACCTTACGAACAACAAGGACTCACTTAGCATCACTAATATACTTTGACAATGATCAACACATCAACAATAAAGGCAGTAACTAACAACAAGCATCATTTCACATTTTCAAGCACTTAACAACATAGGCAACTTTTGCCAAACATTACAAAGTCAAAATTCAACCTTAAAATTCTTTTAAGGAGGAACTACCTTCTCCAACATTAAACATGCTAATATACCATACTTTTACACACATTGAAACTTCAATTCAAAACAAAACAATTTTTCCCATAAATTAAATTTTTTATAGTGAATCACATTGTTCACTACCAAGTATATCAATTTTTTTTAAAAATTCATTCTTTATGCAATTCATCAGGATAACATGATCACATGAAGTATAATACCATATAAACTTATCTTATAACACCTTGAAACCATAATTCATGAAAAAAACAATTTTCTCAAAAAGTTGAACTTCATTATAGTGAATTCAAAACATCACTATGTCACATGCTTAAAGAATTCCATAATACACCTTCCAAGAAACTTTATGAAGATGACATGATAATATGAGGGACAAGACCATACTAACTTACTCCAAAGAGACTTGGTAAGTCTTACTAAGCGCAATGGTAGCATCCCATACTACCACTCCCACTTAGTGACCCTTTAGGATTCTCTTGGACTAAGTACATTACATGCCATTCTACTCAACTCACTCTCTGCCACTTAGGGTAAATCCATCTTTAAGGTCTCATAGTCCAAATCACCAATATGCTTCTCACAAGGTTAGAACTCACACTATCCTCAACTCATGCACATTAAGATTATACGTCAACCTTACAACACTTTATTCAACTCTTAGGCATCATTTAACTCAATTTCATGTAAGAAAACATCCTCACTAGATATTCATACCACAATTCCGCCTTAGTGTATGCCACCACAACATCAACCAATCACAAGAACAACTATGAATCATTAGTCACACAAAAAGGTTGCCCTCAACTCCTACAAAATCTCCACATCCTCTCAATATTTCATAAATTTCAAACCTTAAAGCATATCTACCATCATTGAACATAATCACAAGATAATTCATTTATTCTCAAAAGCACTTTATTCATTCTAATAACTCTTATTATGCTTACAACTAAATCACCATAAAGTTTCTCATCACAACACTTCCAATTCCCTAATTCACACATAGCCATAAATGGCATCACATCACAATTTTCAAAACATACCTTCACATCTACTAATCTAGCAACAAAACCATCATTACATCAAAACTCACCTTTTCTTTCCCTCAAACATAGAAACATCTCCCCTTCAAAGAAATCACACCTTGAAGACCATCGGACAAGGGAAAACAAGAGACGAAGACACCTTATGGAGGTATGTTCTATAGCCACTTGTCCATGGATAAATCGCGACCCACACAACTGATAAAGATACTACTAGACGTGTCTTGTGAGAATTTTAGACCTTGAACATTTTTCGAAATCCTTTTGCTTTGGTACCAAGTCTGCCACAACCCAAAATTACCCTCTAGACGTGTCTTGTGACTTGGAGTAGTTAACCTTTCTGGGGTCTCGCACAAGCCGTTTAAGTAACATTCATTACATAAGATATGAAAAGTAGGCCGAAATTAAAACTATTCACGAATAATTTAATGAAAAGGAAATATTTCATAAATACTATGAAATATCGTCGTTACAAGCCAAACTTAAAGATACGACATAAATAACTTGGGTACACGGCCCTTTACATTTAAATAGAAATAGATAAAAAGTCTTTAAATAAAATTTAAGAAAAGGACTATGCCCTCAAATATATCAGGACATATTTTTCCTTTAGAGAAACTATACCAAGCTCTTCCTTCTAGCCTTCAAACATTCAAAAGCTTCAAACCTACACTTATATAGTATAGAAAAGTATGGGGTTAGTACAAAACAAAGTACTAAGTACGATATATGCAAAAACATGTAAAAAGGGAATTATAGTAAAATAGTTTTTCATGCAATTTAAGTAAAACATTCATGATTACAAAGAGAAAACATCATACTAACAATCATTTACAACTTAGATAAGAATTCCCATAATTTTAAGCCAAAAAGAAACATTACAGTAACCTTGTCAAAACATTCAGTAAACCAAGTTGAGCTTCACTACGAACTCCTTAAGAATTTACGGTAAATACATTTGAACATTGACAATTAATCATTTAAAGAATTCACAGTAAATTCAACTTGAACAATTACAGTGAAATATCCTACACTAAATGAGTGAATTTCCAAAGCCAAGCGAAAGAGAAAGTGAACCCATTTTCC